AATTGTGGTAATGCATAGGACAAAACAGACACGTCTATATCAGAAATCTATTGCTATATGTCATTTGAAGTGAAATTGCAGTGACCAAGTTTCAGGAAGGAAAAGTTGTTCAGTGTATTTGAGTGGCCACAATTAAAGTCACCTTTCAGTTTAACGGATACACAGTACAATTACAGAGGACAAGTCTTATAAGTGTTCTTCAATGCAGAAATATAACTCTAGATCATGGATAAACAGTTCTTAAGGTCTTATAATTCCTTTGACTCAAAAATTAACAGCACAATACTTAAAAAGCCGAAGCTTGCCCTGCAAGTATTTTTTCCCTTATCTGCATATGGTACCTCAAAAGTTACTGAAAGCTGGTTAACACAAGTTACTGCTTCCCAGGAGTTGGCATTAAATCCTTGTGGGATGCAAGTGTGGGAATAAAGTGCTCAGAACCACTCAGAGTGGCTCCACTCATGCTCCATACATTTTGTACTAGGTCTGATGCTTAAGAAATAAGGGACAAAGAAGTCATTAGGAAATATAGTGATTTCCTTGGCTTTCCTGTGAGTGCTGTCTTGAACTGACACCAGATAACTAGATGCTTTCACTCAACAGTGTAATATAAAATTACCGAAACCTGGCTCCTACAGTAAGTGCACAGCAGAGCAGCAATCTGGAAATAGCTATTCTCTAAGAATTCTCAAGCAGAAATAGCACAATATCACTCCTATTTCATCTGTGCATCAGAGGGAATCCTATGGGTTGGCTTAAGATGAAACAAATCTAGCATCTAGTTTCAATTCTCCACAGAGGTACAGAAGCCTTTGAGCTGCTATAATTCTTAATAATTCTATCCAGTATCTTGAGCTATCCAGTCCCCTTTAAATAACAATAAAATAAGAATTAAAAAGCAAACAAAAAAATAAAAAACCCAAAAACTCAGACGAAAGAAAACAACAAAGTATAACGTTGGAACTAGTTACACAGCCAACATTTCTAGTTATAGTGCTCAAAATTCCGTTTTATAATGTAACCGCAATGTTTAGGCTTTTGTATTTTCTACATACAAACCGGGGTTTCTTCTTGAATTTAGATGCTTAAAAAAAATAAATTGTCTTTTCATTTTTGCCTGAGTTAGGCTCACAGCTTGAATTTCAGAGCATGCTAAAGAAAAATATGCGTGTTTTGATCTTTCAAATGGTGATGCATGCACTTGATCATTTCTAAACAAAGCTAATGTGAAACAAGCACAGTTATGATTAGTGTACATACATGCAATTTAACATTTCCACCTGCCCCTGCTCAGTACATGGAACATTAACAAACTGCTCAACCTTACAGTGCTAACAGAGCTTCGAGTAGTGACTGTTACTATGAACTACATATTTGGTTCAAAGAGCTGACAATTTCCATGTTTAGTGGCTAAAGACACTGTTACCCATAAAAGTTTACTAACTACTGTAAATAATTTTTATTAAGAACTTGTATTGCTATAAATACTGAGGATGCATTTTCAGAAAAATTATTACTTACTACAGAAGCTTCAGGGATTTTGAATTCAGAACTTATTATGTCCCTCCCTATTTCATGCTTAGGCGTTTATCTCCTAATTGCTAAAGAAGCCTCAGAATCTGCACAAAAGCAGTAGGCAGGAGCTACTGCTTGTGTGTAGGCAGCAATACTTCATCTTCTGGAAACTGAGAAAAGATTATTCCTTTAAGCACAACTTGGGAGAAAGTTTGCATAATTATTCAGTGGCAAGAACGGGAAATCCAGACTTAGAAAATATGTGGGAAGTCAAGTCCCTAAGAGCTCAAATTTAGTGGAGAAGGAACTTAATTGGGTAAAGACAAGCGGTAATCAATAAACAAAAATAATTAGTACTTTTTGTAAAACTCTAGACTGGACTCATCATTAAACATTACACCTCCAGAATCCTGACTATACAAGTGTGTCACAAGGAGGCGAGTGCCAGCATTTTCTAAGTTGAAAATCCACAGAACCTTTGATTTCATGAATGACAGCATACATCTAGTTACAACTTACTCTAAATGCATGGTGACAGAGAAATACTGGTTAAGGACATACTAACATGATACATCGAATAACTTTTTGAAAAGCATGATATTGTCACAGTATAAATTTTGGTGCATAAACAAATTACATGATTACCTATAGAAACTGATTAGAGGCAACACAAGATAACTGTCTGAAATTTGTATGCAACAAAATAGATGAAAAAAGCAAGATGACATGATGTTAAAAAAAAAAGAAGTAGGAAACTTGACATGTTTAATTCTATTCCCCATACAAGAACTTTTACTATTGAATATTACCTCCAATAGGGCCATGGCTTATTGAGCTGGAAAAAATTATCCTGGAGAATGTTTTCTTATTACAATTACTCTGCAACCACAAAGGTTTTGAGGATTGCTTTGATATTTATGTTGTAAATTTCCAACTGAATATGAATGTCAGAGCAGATGGTTTCCTGCACTGATTAAGGGTATTTTAAGTAGTGATATTTTCTGGTTACAAAATTTAAAGCTATTATTCCTGATGTTTAATAACATTTCTTTCCTTTTTTTTTCCCCTCAGAAGAAAAATATTCAGTATCTGGAAGGTCACAGGCTGTATTTGTGTTACAAATTACTTTATAAATCAACCCCAAATCACAGTACTGTAACATTTACTTTATTCCCACATCAGCTATACTCATTTTCTTTAGATTTCTAGCACAGATAAGATTTTGAGCACAACTGACTACGTGAGACTTCTCTCTAGTTTGAAGCATATTACATACGGTATTGCATTCTTCAGATTCAGTATATTCTTTTTTTCAATTTTTCTCCTCCTTTTTCCTGAAGATCCTTGTATTCTGTGACCTTTAATGCAGCAGTAAAAGAACAAGAAATCAATAAAAATCTCTCTGGAAGGAACCTCTACAGGTCATCTGATTACATCTTCAGCTAAAGGAAGGGGAATTTTCAAGTTGTGGCTGGGGAAGGTGCATAATACCAGTAGTATTTCTTCTTCAAACAAGTTCAGCTGAGCTCTCCATGAGCCTCAAGGTACACTAACAGGTTACCAGGCAGTAAAACAATCAGAATAAAAAGAAATCCGCACTGCTTCTATATCTCTGTAATGTATTATCTTCCATTGTATGAACCCTAATTCATAGGCTTCATAGGCAGGACTACATTTAAGATATCTTAAGGAAGAACAGAAATCGGTACCTATAAATCATGTATCAACACTAATGTTTCTTGCTGATTTAGACAGACAGTGGAAAAAAAATCTATGACCACCTAGGACAGTCAGGAAACTTGTAAATTAAAGAACCACACAGAATAAAAAGTTGATCCACAATGAAAAGTAGGAAGGCAGAAGGATGAAGCAAGTAGAGATAGCTGAAACGATCCATTAAAGGACCTCAGATTTTTTTTTTTTTTTTCATGAAAATGTAATGTGGAATTTAATATAATAAAACAAAACAAAACAAACAAAAAAAAAACACCAGAAAACAGATGTGGAAAAAAGGCTGCCGTTCTTCCACATGAAAATCCATGCCTATCCCAATTTATTTTATTATTAGCATTAGTGCTTTATTTTTTTTTCCCTAATTTATTAGATTAGTTCTTCCTTCCCAAGATTCCAAAGAGCTCCTCAAAGAAGTCCCTAGGTAAATAGTCCTAAAGTAAACTGCTTTCTCAACACATTTTTGTTTAGGAGTTACTTTCATTACCCAAATCACTGCCCTTAAGTGAGCAGAATTGCCTATTTCATTTGTTAAGAAAAACAATTCTTCAAGTGTACTGAAAATAAAAACAACTCTCCATATGCTTCACAGCAGGCTAACTGCTCAGAACAAAAATCTAGTCAATTAGTAAAGGTAGTCATAGGAGACATCTATGCCCCATGCACAAGTTTCTATTTCTATTTCTAGGCCCATTCCTACTTCCCACACTGATAACTGTGATCCACCCTGTAAAAAGACATACATTTGTAATTCAGTCATTGTGCTTTAAGGCAAATGCTTCTTTAAACTGTGTGTAAAAAGAGATTCTGTACAAATTTGAAGGAAGAAAACAGTAATAAAACATACAAGGCTGTTGGGTCAACATATTCAAGAACATATTTTGACCTATAAATAGCTCCTAGGTTCAGCGCGCATAAATAAGAATTTAACTGAAGCTGCAAATTGTTATTTCAACTGTATGCTTCACATTAAAGTAATTGTACCATAAAAAACACTGAAAATACTGAAAGTTCCTACTACTTCCATATCTGATTAAAATTCTGCAGTAACAGAACTACAAAACTCGTTAATGTCAAAGATTTCTAACTGAAAATAGAATGTCTCAATAAAGCAAAATAAAAATTAAAAAAAATCAATTATAGATAAAATGCATTTTAACTTTAAGTTCTACAAGAAGCTCTGTTGTTATCCAAAGCAAGAGATTTAGATGATGACCTGCAAATTTGTTTACGCCTAGACAAATAATGGCCACCGGGAAAAGAAAGAAACAAATCTGCTGTAGCAATTGTTATGTTGTAGACTACCAGCTATGAACTCTGAAGAGTTAGGTAGCATTCATTCTAAAATGAAATCCTTTTTGTTTATAGTTATTTGATCATATGAACTCATCAGATAACACAAACAGTAACACCTTCTATTCTGACAGACTTCATTTCACAGAAAACCATCAATATAATTAATTTATTATACAAGACAGATTAAAATAATTTCTTCCTCAGAAAGCAAAGGTTAATTTCAGTATCTGAAATGAAGCCTGATTTTAATATGCAATCAAAACTACAAAAGAAAGACAGAACCTGATTTTTTTGGAAGAAGTAAATGGACTTACAGTAAGAAATTGACATGATTATCAGCATGGAACTAAGTTCTGGAAAATCTATAAAAAAAGATAACAGCTATTATAGGTCAGGTTTTTTTTAATTCCCCACAGAATGAAGAACAGTTGTTTTCCCTTTACAAAAACTGCACTTACATGTGTTGTGTCCAGAAAATCTTTACATTATTAAGTAATCTCTCACTTCCAAAGAACACCTCAAAACACTTGGAGCTATAACACAAGAATTGCAATGCTGTAACATTCAGGATACTTTTCATGTAAAAGCAGATTAAACTTTCCCCAGGAGATTCCTTATGACTCTTGAACTGATTTACCCAACAAAAAGGTTCTACTCTTGTGAAAGCCAAACTCAGCAGCAGCATGCATGTGTAGCACTGTGCTGAAATGATGGTATTTCCTGGTGAGCCACATTTCTCAGGTAATACTCAGTTTCTGATAACATTTCCTGTAGAGCAAATAGTCTCCCTGTCCATGAGAAATGCATCACAACTTAAAGTTTTATTCACTATGAAATTCACATGCAGACTATCAACTGTATCAGCCTACTTTTTTTTTTTTTTTTTTGCTGGATTTATTATTTTTTGTTTTCCTCTGGAGAAATCCCTGTTCTGGAAGCTGCTGTTTGAAGCTTCCAAAATAAGTGGAGAATGCAAAATGTACCACAAACCAGCATGATGCAACTCACCAGTGTACACTGGATATCAGTCAGCACAGTTGGGGTCAAGGGTGCTCTGTCCATTTGCTTTGTTCCAGAATATTGGTAGGATCAGTGCAATGATCACTATTTCTGATAAGTAGGAAAGAAGTTCAGAGTTAAACATTTAGCGTGATTCCTCTCATCTTTTCCTAGATGCACATATCAATTTTAGGAGTGAATTCGTCAGAAACCAGAGTACCAGAGAGTACTTTAATCATAGACAACATAGGAGTACTTGTTTTGCATTTACTGTAATGCTAAAGGTGACTCAGTTCACAAAGAGAAGCAACGTTCGATTATCCAAAAGTAGTCCAACTCAGCATTAACTTGGAGTAGCTTTTCAGAATGAGAAGTAACACAAAGGCACATGCAAATTCAGAGGAATACAAATATCAGTCAGTAAATACAGTGTCACAAAAGGATTTCCTCAATTATCTGTTTATAAGCAGGTTATATGAAACTAGATTCACTGAAAGTTTTCCAAGATAGTTTATTTCTTACTCAAAAAAACAAATGTGCAAGTATATGATGGTAATAGCTTCGTTTAGACAAACTTGCCAAATCATAATAGGATGTCTGTAGAAACCTGCCCAATTTCTGCTAGCAGCTAGGCAGAAAAGCTCCTTTTCACAAGAGGCAGGCTGCACAGAAGAAAGAACTGACTTATCTCCTTATACGCTGACAGTGGCTGAAGAGGCCAGAGATGAGCTAGCAAAAAATCCATTAAGATTTCTTTACAAGCATCACACAAAAAAATACAGCAGAAAAATCTTCCAGACAAGACTAAAATGAGGTCAAAGACTTGCAAACAATATCACCCTTTTATAAAACAGGGTCAAACAATAAGCCTAGGACAGCCAAGGTCACAGAAAACAGATAGCAAAGATAGAGCAGACAAATTAAAACATTATAACAGAGAACATGACATTGGTTGATCATAAATATGAATCTTCAAGGGAAGAAGATCTGTTTGGAGCTATTTATTAGCTAGTTATCCCTGAAACAATGTAGTACTTATGGTTTTTTTGCATTTATTAATGTATCCCAGTTTACTTTGTGCCACATGTTTGTTGAAAAAGTTGCACAAGAAAGAGCTTTTTCCTCTCTTCCATAACATTCCCGTGTTAGAGTATTACACTTACAGATCTCCCCTTTTGTCTCCTGGGACTTGCCCACTCAAAAAAAAAAAAAAAAAAAAAAAGGGGGGAAGTTCTGACCTATTAGATAAAGTGCTGAGTAGTGGAACAGCCTTCCAACTCTGCTTGCCAGCAGACAATGACAAGCTGTCCAAATTTCCCTAGGAATCTACCTTATACTGAAATCACCATACAAAAATAAACTGAAAGAAAAAAGGTCCTCTATGGGTGGCTACCACAGTCTGGTTTTCACAAATTCTGATGTGTTTTCATGGCCATCAGTAGCAGTAGCCACCATAACTGCTTTTACAAGACAAGGCAAAGCACAGTCCTGATATAGAATTAAGTTACAAATGACTTTATAAGTTACTCTGTCTTTAACAGATGTGTTTTCTAACTGTCGTATGTGAAAGATCACCATTATTAACAAGTACCATTCTGGAGAGATTACCCAGGGGAAAATAGCTTTCATGACACCACCCAGTTCCTTTTAAAACGCACCCTTAATTAGTATTGCAGAATTCTTCATTTGATTTTACTGTATTCATGTTTTTAAGCATGTGATTATGAGGACACATATCTCTGAAGTAAAGAGAAGCAAAAATTAAGAAGTACTTTGTGCAGCTATTAGACACTTTAAGAAAAAAGGTGTGATTAATACATACTACACTTTGATTTACTTTTAGAGCAGCTCTTAAGAAAACAAGCAGTTCTGAAAAGCAGATCTAACATGTCATCAAACTTTCTTCCCTACGCCTCTGATGTTGTAATTCTGTAACAATTTGCAGTATTGTAACACATCAACATACACTGCTCATTTGTGTTCTGGAGCTTACACAACTCATAGGTAGCGCTTCCTTTTGGACACTGATGTTGGCATAACTCTTTATTGTGGGAGGAATTGAGGTGTACTGTACCTTGACACAGTGCTGTGGCACTGCATTCAACTCAGTACAGTGATGTTATTCAGAAACTAGTGAACACATGAGTGCTGCAGTGTGTGACTGATTGTTATTGCTGGAACTAAGCTAAGAAAAAAGCTACAGAACAGCCATGCCAGGTGTGCTTCTGGCACATGACCCACACCAATAAATCTCATGGTAAATACAGATTTCCTGCAATAATTTTCTACTCCCAGCCTTTCCTAACATAAGCACCATTATCTCTAGACTCAAAATTATGAGTAGTCACATCCATATAGTGAGAACACGATGCATTGCTCCTTGATGTTTCTCTAAATGCATTTTTGAAGATGTCTTCCAGAGGATTTTGACTCACTACAACTGAAACAAAATCATCATGCAGATATCTGATTAAGACAGACTCATATAAGTACAGTATAGCTACCTCTGATTTTATGTACATGCAGTTTATTAACTGTTTAAAACAACTTCAATGGATTCAAACAAGTATACTGTGAAAGTGAAATATCATTTATACTGGCTTTTATAAGACAACATGGATCACATGCTAAAGTATTTTGAAGTTGTTCATGTTCCATACTAATAAGCCATATTAGTCAGCTACAACTACTTACAAGTGAAGTCAGCAAGTAAAACCCCCAATTCTTTCCTACCTTAAATAAAAAGAAATTAGTTGTTTTGAACTTGATTTACGTCAGATTCTAAAGACAAGAACCATATAATTGAATATAAATATCTCCATAATACTCTGTTCACATATTTACCTTTCTCCTGCAGATGCTCATCTTTAGGAAAGAGAGACATCATATATCTATTCCTTGATATACATTTGAGCCAACACATTAAACCAACTTGAAGTCTGAAATGCTTCTGGAAGAGTTGAGCATAGCTACCACCTTCTACAGTTTCCTCATATTCTTTTGGAGCCTGCTGTGTGAGTAGTCATTTTTATGTTTGGGTTCAATATCACATATCAGCTAACAGGTTAGAGCAAATATCAGTTACAATGTGGGGAAAAGATTGAGTATTTGTATAATATCAGAGATTTTTCGGAAAGAAAAGTTGTTGTTGTTGTTGTTGTTGTTTTTAAACTCTGACAAAGATTGATAGAGACACTAATTTGTTCTTATAGCTGTATAGAGAGATATCATCTGCAAAGGTCACTATGAAACCAAATCCAGAGATTAGGATCTTAGTAGGCAATTCTCTGCATGAAATACAAGTTAGCATGTTGTCCAGCCTGAAACAAACCTTCAAATCCAAACTACAGAGCTACTACATACCATCTCTTACACTATAACTTGAAGTCTGAATAGCAGTTATTTCCATGGGCTAAAAATAACTTGCTCATCCAGCTAGCAGTCCAGCAGTTAAATTAAGTTGTTTAATTAATTTAGCTTCATGTGTGAATTAGCATCAAGTAAGACTTCCACATGTAACTGATACACTCTTCCTATCAAACTCTCTCCACAAAAGCTGCTCTTAAAGTTATATTACTGCAATATAACATTTCAGCTACAGGAAACTCTTTGGATATATCCTGTGGGCTCCAATAACAACTTTATAATCGGAGTATAATCAGAATCAAGTATCACTGAAGATCTCTCTTGGAATAGCTATTCTGAAAAATTATTTTTCAACTTTTATTTTGTTTCCTTTGTGAAATAATATATTTCCCAAGAGGAAGGTAAAAGCATGGAGCATAAGGTCAGTACATTAAAGTTAAATCTCAGAAATTTCTGAAAAGTACTGTCTCCCTGCTCCAATTTCAAGGCTCATATCCATTAATGTCTGCATTACCATAAAGGTTTACACACCTGCATGGATGCCGGCTCTATTGAAGAGCTATCTGGTTATGTTTGCAGACAGAATGTAGTGCTACCTATGTACCAAAGCCATATCAGAATGCAGATGCCTTCTTGGCCTCATTCTAGAGAACACTGTTGCAAATGAGAAAGTTACTTTCAAGTTAAGTAAATTTAGGTGACACATCCTCCCCCTTTTGTGGAGGATATTTAATACCTTATGCTCATTATCTAAGGTGATATATAATATTTATTTTTAAAAAACACAACTGAAACAGTGGTTTATGTAAACCAAAAACAAACAAACAAAAACATTTCATACAGCATTTAATTTTACGTTCTACCAGTTTCTGCTAGCATTACAAATTAGATAAACTGAATATTGCAATTTAACATGCCTATTCTCTCTTCAGCGAGTGTAAGATGAATTCTTCTGCTGCCTTCTACACCTCCAACATTGGAGGAATCCAGGAATTGTCCCATCCCACACAGTTTTCCCTTTGACAAGCTGACATATCAAATAGCTAACCAATATAACTAAATTGTAGCAGTTTTAGTTTGTCACCCAGGCAAAAGCTAAGCACTTATTTAAAATGAACTCAGAGACTCAGCATGGCTAAGGGATAGTCTAATTTTCTACATCTTTTAGTAGCACGCAAATCAGCTGATGGTGAAAAATTCTGTGACAGAAACTGAAATGATTACACACTGAATTTTTGACTAAATTTTCAGTTGTTATATCTATTTGAAAAAATAATAACTGTAGTTCCATTACTATGAGCGATTCTTTCTCATTATTAAGATAATTTCATAGCCTGTCTTAAGAATGAGGAAATATGGTCTGTGCAGAAAAGAAATGTTCCCAGAAATATCCAGAGGAAAATAAACTAGTTCTCGAGGGTCACATATTCGGGGTCAGGATGCAATCTAATTGTGTGAAAGCAAATTCATCTAGCGACAGCATAGCATAAATGGTTTTGAATTACTTCTTGTCCTGGGTTAGCTTGTATGAAGCTAGGTCTGTTCTCTGAATATATCCAAATGTTAATATATAAGGCTAGAAGATGCTTATTGCTATCAGTCTCAAAAGCACGTGTGTTTTCAGTCATCTCAATTCAACAAATCTTTATTCATGTTTTTATACCTTCAGAGTACATCATTACATTTCATATAAAAGTTTCTCTCAATCTATCCCTTTTCACAAAATATGAATAGGCCAGACCAAA